TGAGTGTTTTCGTTTGATGCTGCTCAATGGTGTCGAGCCAGATGAGATAACTTTCGTGGCGGTTTTAGAGGCTTGCGGCGTCCTCAAGGCTGGATGTTTTGTCCATGGCTTGATCCAAGAGTGTGGCTTCCAGAGCGTCCCATTTGTAGGAAACGCGCTGATAACCATGTATGGGAGGTGTGGCAGCGCAGATGAATCGAGGAGAGTTTTCGAGAGCATGGATTGTCCAAACGCAGTCGCCTGGTCGTCGATCATTGCAGCTCTCGCGGAGCAAGGCAATGGAAAAGGACCGGAGGCGATGGTGTTTCTTTGGCGCATGCAGCTAGAGAGCGTGAGGCCGAACAACGTAACTCTCGTGGCGGCGCTCAATGCGTGCTCGACCCCGGCGTTTCTGCGCGAGGGGCGACAGATTCACGCTCTAGCCATGGAGTCCGGCTATGACTCGTCTGACAAGATCGTGGGGAACGCGCTCGTCAACATGTTTGCGAAGTGTGGGAGCTTGCTTGATGCACGAGAAGCCTTCTCCAAGATCTCTCACAAGGATGCGACGTCGTGGAACGCCTTGATCACGATCTACGCACAGAACCAGCATGGAAAAATCGCACTCGATTCGCTAAAACGCATGCAGCTGGAAGGATTCCGGATGAACAAGCACACTTTCGTAAATGCTATCATTGCCTGCACGGAGATCTCCTCCTTGAAAGATGGCAAGCGCATCCACGGCTGGATTCGCGAGAGGGGAATGGATCTGGACGTTCTACTCGGCAACGCAGTGCTCAATCTCTACAGCAAATGCGGGAGCCTGGACGCCGCGTACGCGGTGTTCCTCCAGCTGCGAAGAGAAGACGTGATAACCTGGAATGCAATGGTGGGAGCCTACGCTCGCCACGGCCACGCGGAGCGAGCTCTCACGCTTTTCCGAGTGATGCAAATGGGATCCGGCACCATGCCAAACTCCATCACCTTCGTCAGCGTCCTCTCGGCGTGTAGCCACGCCGGGCTCTTGGAGGAAGCTCACTCCAGCTTTGTGTCGATGAGGAGCGACTATGGGATCGCCCCCGCTGCGAAGCACTACGTGTGCATGGTCGATCTTCTCGGGCGAGCCGGGAAGTTTGAGGAGATGGTACGTTTCGTGGGAAGCTCTCCAGTGGAGGGCGATGCCGTGGTGTGGAGGGCCGTGCTGGCGGCTTGCAGAAGCCACGGCAAAGTTGAGATTGGGAACCGAGCTGTTAAGCGGCTCTTGGAGCTGGAGCCGGGCTCACAAACAGCTTACATTGCTCTTGTTCACAATTATAACTTTTAATTATAAAAGAATAATATTTTCTCACTAAGTTTTTTATTATTGTTAATAGCAACTAAATAGCCTCTCCACCTTTTAAATTCCAAGCCATTTATAAACACGGAGCAATTTGAGGCTGCTTGCCCTCTATACAATTGCATTTCTATATTCACGGCAGTGAATTGCAGACGACTTCTTCTGGAAAGGGAAATCTATTAGATTGAATTGATATATCTCGACAAGAGAGGAGCACGAGCGATCAATTGTAACAGGCGCTGATTTCTCATTACGGCAAAACTTCCAATTGAAATGGGAGGGAAAAATACTAAATGATTTCAAGCTCGCTACGGACGCCAGGAGAAATACCTCGTAGCCTAGGAGGCGCACAGCTCTACTGTTTGGACTTGTCAGAATATTTTCTGGGTGGCAGCCTTCCAGCTTCTCTGGGCAAGTCTTCGAGCCAAGGAACAAGCTTGGAAAACAAGACATGGATTTCGGCCAGCTCCACCGGCTGGTTCACTTGGATCTCTCCCACAACGAGTTTGAAGGAGATCTATCAGCGTTGACTTCCAACACCAGCAACATCAGGATTGTCATGCCTGCTGCAAATCGGATTATCAGCCACGCACCTCTACTTGCATTTTGAGTATACAAATTTACAAATGCTGTTAGATATAGTCTTGCCTTTTGCCAGCAGCGTGAAGGTTGGCAACCAACACGTATGGAGAGCCACATTCAGGCCTAAACTCCACAATTTTCTCAGCTGCCCGAGCTGCCAGATCGTCGTTCTCGTAGAAAGTTGACGCTGCTAGCAGGCTCCCCCATGTAGCACCATGGGCGGCAAACGGCATCTTGTCTGTCACCTCTTCGGCAGTATCAAGCTGCCCAGACCTCGCCAGAATGTCAACAACGCAGCAGTAGTGCTCCCGCGTGGGAGTCAACCCAAAGTCAGCGCGCATTGACACAAACTCTGTCAACGCCTCATTGACAAGCCCGGAATGGCTGCACCAGGCCAGAATGGTCGCAAAGGCGACCCTGTCCGGCGCAACCCCTGCCAAGTTCATCATCCGGAAGAGAAAGAGGGCTTTCCCTGCTGGCGCATGAGCCTTGATCATGGCATTCCACGACACGAGGTCCCGAACAGGCATTTCACGGAAAGTTGTGAGAGCTTCCTGAAAAAAGCCGTTTTGCTCGTAGGCCGAGGTCATAATGTTCCATGCTGTGACATCGCGAGAGGGCATGGATGCAAATAGTTCCCTGGCCTCGCTCACTCTGCCGTAGTGAGAGAGCCCCGTGATCACTGTGCTCCATGACACAACGTGCCTCTGCGGCATTCTGTCGAATGCGAGCCTGGCCTCATCCAAGCAGGAGAATTGGCAGTAGACTGCGATCATGGTGTTCCAAGACACTAGGGTTCTCTCAGGCATAGATTTGAATCTAGTTTGGCACTGCTCCAAGCAGCCATTCATCCCAAATGCCACGAGCTCTACATTCCATGAGATGGCACAGTGTTTTGGCATTCTTTCCAGGACCTGCAAGGCTTGAGTGAGATGCCCCGCTTGAGAAAACCCGGAAAGTAGCGAGTTCCAAGAAAATGGATCCCTTTCGGGCATAGCATCGAAGCACGTCTTCATTTCTTCAACGTATCCAAGTTGGGCATTTGCTGCAACAACGGCATTCCAGGAGACGACATTGCAGGACGGCATTTTCTGGAACATGATCTTCACAAGATTAATAGAGATGTTCTGTGCGCCAGATGACATCAAAGAAGTCCAGGAGATCACGTTTCTTTCAGGCATTTGATCAAACATAAGCTTTGTGCGATCAACACACCCGCTTTGAGAATCGGCTGACACTGCGATGTTCCACGACACTAAGCTTCTGCATGGCATTCTATCAAACATCATCCTTGTCATGTCAACCTTACCATTCTGTAGAAACGATTTTGCTAGAGCGTTCCAGGTACCCGCTGCTTTGCCTTGCGTTGAATCAAACATCTCTTTTGCCTGATCAAGATGCCCCGCCCGGGCGTACAGTAAAATCATCACATTGCAAGCGATCAAATCCCTTTCCTCCATTGCAAGAAATATCCTCCTTGCCTGCGCATCCATTCCATTTTGCGCAAACGCAGTGATCATGGCCGTTGACGACACGGCATCGTGAAGTGGCATCCTCTCAAACACGGCACTGGCGCCAAGGATATGCCCGGCTTGGGCATACGCACTGAATAACCTTGTCCAGGACAAAAAATTCTGTGACGGCATAACGTCGAACAGGGCTTTGGAATCCTCCAGACGAAGACCCGGAGCTTCGGCAAATGTGGAAATCAGGCAGTTCCATGCTACCTCGTTCCGCTTGGGCATCCTGTCAAAGAACTTTCTAGCCAGATCAAATTGAAGGTACCGTGCAAATGCCGTTATCATCAAGTTCCAGGTGATTAGATCCCGCCCGCGCATCCCATCGAACATCAATCGAGCGTCTTCGAAATATCCGTTCTGGGCATATGCAGTAATCATGGAGTTCCAGGAAACTGTGTCAGGCAGGGGGGCTTGATCGAACAAGAGCTTGGCTTCTTTCAGTCGGCCGTTTTGGTTGTAGACATTGAGCATAATGTTGCATGATCTGGTGTCAAGGTTCGGGATAGAGGCGAAGATCTCCAGGGCCTGCTGCAGTTCCCCGCAAGCGCCATACATGAGCACCAAATGATCCGCCAGGAACTTGCAATGGCGGAGATTGGAAGCAAGAATGGAGCTGTGGAGCCTCCTGCCTTCGTCGAGATCTTTGCTCCTGGCACATGCCTTGAGACGGCGTCCCAGTTCTTCCACAGATCCATTGCACCACGGGATCTTGCTGGAGCTGCCATATTGTGCTGTGAGAATCTTTCTGAATCCTTCAGTAGGCCATGCAATCATGAAAACATTGGAAGACAATATGATAATATGGTTTGACATTAATATTTTTAACTATTATTACTATAAATTCAAATTTGAAAGATCTCGTGTATTGTAAATCTGAAGTTTTCCAGAATGTTTGATTTGTGATGTGCTCGTGATACAAGGTTGACTTGTAGATTGGTGGATTTTTCTCGTTGTTAAGTTCTGGCAGAGGCCCTACCACAGCATCCAAAAATGCCGTGATGGTGATCAGGCTGGACAAGGACCCGGTGCTCCATTGTTCAAGATCTGGATGGAAGAGAATAAGAACCATGATTCAATCAATCAAAGTACTATAAAAGTGGTTATTCAACTTACTTCTCCAATTTTCACGATGAACGCATTTTTTATAGGCTTCTAAGTCGTACCAAAGATTGCCCTTTTCTGGCCTGGAGTCCGCCAATCTTCAAACAGGATTGTCAGTCAGCCGCTTGTCGGATTAATCCCAAGAGCAACGTCGGGATTCGGGCATAGTAATTCAATTGCAAAATCATCTCAGACAGCGGTTTTTCAGCCCAAAGTGTAGCTTCCCAGGATCATGGTCAAACACCTCTACAAAAGTCGATCTTCCTCATGATCTCCTCCGGAGGATCACTCTCAACAATTTCAGCCTCTTCTCGCAGCATCTCAAGCTGTCCCTCGACTACAACCAAAAGAAATATCAACACCATAAGCTTCTTCAAAGATGTTGGTACTAGCGTCGCCATTCTCTCCGGCCTCGTCTATGATCTCACCGGGCCCTTGCTCCTCCTTGGATTCGCGCTAAACTTTGCTGGATACTTCACGATATGGCTGGCTACAACGCAGAAAATCGCGCACCCCCATATCTGGGAGCTGTGCTTCTATCTCTTTACGATCGGCGCGTCGGCAGGCTTCACTGTTCTGTGTCCTGTGCCAAGAATTTCCCCAAGAACCAGGGCATGGTTCTTAGTCTTCTCGACAGCACGCAGGGATTGAGCGTTACGATCTTCTCTCGCAGCAATGATTCCTTCATCCTCTTCCTCTTGCTGGCCTGGTTTCCATCGCTCTTGTGCCTACTCTTCGCGTTTGTCATACGATCTCTCCCACTCGACATCGGCGAGAACGCTCTTCGTCTTCTTGTCGGTAACTTTGATCCTGGCTGGATATCTCATGGCGATTATCATCCTCCAGCATTTCGTGCGCCTAGAATCTTGGATCATCAAGGCCTTCTTTTCATCATGCTGCTCATCCTCTCCTTCCCGGCAATACAAATCCCTCAGGTAGATCATCAAGATGGTAAGAACGTGGTCAATGTAGATCCTCTGGATCACGGAGCAAACGCCGCTGCTCCAACTATCAGCTCGATCTTCTCCAAAGGACTGCCAGTCAAGCGAGGGGACGATTTCACAATCCTCCAGGCGCTCTGTAGCATCGACATGCTTCTCATTTTTGCAGCGTCAACCTGTGGCATTGGCGCTGTGCTCACGGTGACTAACAATTTCGGTCAGATTGGATCGTCCCTGGGCAACTCCCAGGCCAGAACAAACACTTTCATCGCGCTGCTCAGCATCTGGGACTTCATCGGTGGCGTTGGCCGCGGCTTCATCTCGGATACGTGCCTCGCCAGCTATGGCGTCGCAAGACCCTTCTTCCTGTGCCTGGTTCTCTTGCTTCTCTCGCTTGGGAGCTTGATAATCGCTCTTGGGCTTCCCGGCTTCCCGGAGAGCTCTTCTACGGCTCGGTTTTGATCGGGCTGTCAATCGGTGGGCAGTGGTCTACACCATGATAGCGGAGATCTTCGGGCTCAGCTTCCATGGAACGCTCCAAAACGTAACTTACGTCGCCAAGGCGCTGGGAACGTATGTTTTGTCGTCCGTGTGGCCGGAGTTTTATACGATCGCGAGAGTAAGCTTGGATCGAGAGATGATGAGCTTCTTTGCCATGGATCGCATTGCTACAGAGCAACCTTCTTCGTCATGGCTGGAGTGTGCTTGTTTGCAGCCATTGTGAGCTTGATATTGTCCATGAGAACCGAAAAGTTTTATAGTGTCACTGTTCGAAAGAGACTCACTGGTTAGACGCTTTGATGTATTGACTTCGCTGAAAGAACAGCAAACTTCTATAAGGCCACTCACTGCCGATTAGTAAAAAAAGCTCGAAGGAAGGTCATACCTTCACTTCCAAAACATTTGTCTCTCGGTTGATGATAGTAACTCGTTGTAGAGTCGATCATATACAACTATATGTAGATATTTCTGTTTTCAACGCTGTTGTTGCTCTTCTGTGTCCTGTAACGAGGGAGGGGGAGGAGGGAGAGAAGGGGACGATGGTTTGAGTGGCTCTATCTGTGCAATCTCGAGTAAAAGTTTGTGGAGTGACTGTGGCTTGGAGAAGAATGGGGAGTGATCGCTGCCTTTGAGAAGAAATACCTTCTCGGGGGGGTTGCTGCTTATCAGTCTCTCTTGGAGGGCCGGCGTTAGTGCGCAATCGTCGGTTGTCTGGATGAAAAATCTCCGCACGCTACCATATCTTTCCTGTGTTAGGCACAGCCTCTCCAGGGTTGGAGCAAATGGCACGGGCCTCAGAGAAACGGTCGCCAGTGCTACGTCCTGTAAACAAAGCAAAAACAAAAAGCTTCTTTTTCAGTCACCGTGCTGGCTACTAAAAACCACGAGAAAGGACGTACCTTTGCGGGGCTTTGGTTGAAAAACAAATCCTTGATCAGGCTTTTGTCAAACTCGAGAGCCGTGGGAACAGACGAGCTACCGTTCGCGTATACAAACTGTTGAGCCTTGGGTAGAAGATCGTCTGCAGTGATTAACTGCAATCACAACACAATCGAAATCATGTTTGTGGTGATCACAAGTTTTATATGGAGTTTACCTCCGGAGCAAAGATGTCGGACGCCCTCTGTCCGTTCGCCACCATTGCCGCAGAGACGAAAACAGCCTTGCAGATTTTGGTGGGGAAAGCTTCCATGGCGTAGGAGATGCAAGCGCCACCAAAGTCGTGGCCAACGAGTATCACCTGAAAGCGCAAGAAAAGAGAGCGAAAAAGCGGGGGAAAAAAAAGAGTATCTGTCAGATAGGATGCTCACGGACGAGGAAGCGATTGAAGTTTTTAACGGGTGTACCTTCTCATTGTCTGGAAGCTTTTCCAGGAGCGAGAGCAGCGGCTTTACGTACTGTGAGAGCGTCGAGATTGTGTTTGGATCGGTGTGATCGATGCCGGAGCCAGTGAGATCCACGGTTGAGGCAGTGAAGCCAGACTCCTCCAGCAACGCGATGGATTTGTACCAGCACCACGCTCCATTCCCGGCTCCGTGAACCAGCACAAAGTGCTTGCTCTCGAGATTGTCAGGGAGACCTGGCTGGAAGAAAGACAACAACAAAGAAAAACAGACCTCGATCATCAAAACACTCGCTCCATAAAACTATAGAACTGCTGGCTAGAGAACTACAAACAACTAGAAACTACTCGAGAACTCCAACTAGGAACTTACCTTGATCCCATTGACGAGCTGGTGTGGCGGCACGACCGGATCCGAGATGGAGCGCGGCCTGGTGCTGGCGCTCCGCGGGAGCTTCTCCGGGAACAAGTTGGGATTGTTGCGCTGCGACGCGGCGCGCTCCAGCCGGATGGATTTCTGCTGCTGCTGCAGCGCAAACGCCAGCACCTGGCGCTCGATCAGCTCCTCCTCGAGCGCCTTTTGCTTCTTCTGCGCCGCCTTCCGAGCCGCCTTGTCCTTCTTGGCCGAGGAAGAAGAGGACGAGTTCTTCTTCCCTTTGCCCGACACCATCCTCGCCAGTCCATTCCCCATTTTGCTCTTGCTCTTGCTCTTGCTCGCTCGCTACAAAAGACCAAAATTCTCTCACGCTGCGCTACTATCTAGCTAAAACCCTGTCCGCGCGCGCGATCCATCCCTGGATCTACCTAAATGCGCGCCGCCAATCCCCGACGCATTCTCCCGGATCGCGCGCTTGTGGGAAGGCCTACCGGGCGCTGGATTGGCGCTCCTTCTCCTCTCCCCTGGAATGAAAGAGAGCCGCCGTGTGGCGCCCTAAAACCCAGCCTTCATAAATTATGAGAGCCCAGAGCTACCTCTCGCGGCATTTCCTTTAAGAGGATGATTGCCCGACCGTGTTGTTTCTCCTCTAAACAATCACTAAAGAAACCACTCACTCGCAAGGGAATTCCTGGGTAAAATTCGTAAAAAAAGAAGATCAAACTGTGGATCGATTGGGTGCATAATCTCTGGGTACAATAATGTGCTCCCATGACTTTCTCTCGCGTCTCATTCCAATTTTTACTGCCCAAAACTCCCGCTTTCTGTCCGCCATAGCCGTATGCTCATGTCATCGCGGTGGTCTTGTACGCTGTACACGGCGTACGTCATTCTCGGTAGCGTACAAACACCTGTATTCACACACACTGTAGAGATTTTTTGCGTTGTTCCTTTTGGATTCACTGCGCAGTGTATTTTAGACTCTGGGAGGATTGCATTGTAGCCCTTTGTTCTCGGCGTAGACGACGCTGGAAATAGTTCGCCAAGCTTTTCCTTTCACAGGTGGCGAGTCCATTCCATGTCCACCACATGAGAAAAATCACCTTTGACTTTGACTTTATCGTCCAGCACTGGCGGTCAAATCTTATGCTCCAAATCCGCGTTTAAACTTAGAAAAATATTTCGTGCTTAGCACCAAAAAAATTGTTTATAGAGATTGGCTGACTTGCAGTGTTTGTGTTTCACTTGGTCTCTTCTATCATCGACCTATATAACAAACTCTTTCTCGCATAATTTCACAAGCATTTCAATGGAGCTTGCTGGATTTCTTTTGATCCTCTCGCTGTGTGCCACCTCCACCCACGCCCAGATCACTCTCGTCTTCGCAAACAACGCCCAAGGAACCGCCGGCGGTAGGCGCTTCGACTCCGTGGTGGGTGCCCAGGGAGCCTTCACCATCCTCTCCGACGCCATCACCTTCGTCCAGTCCACCTTCGACTACTCCAATCCATCCACGCCCAAGAAGAGCGTCTCCAGGATCACCTTCACGGTCGACGATATCGGCGGCGTCGCGTACACCAGTAACGATCAGATCCATCTCAGCGCGTCATATGTTGGGAATTACAGCGGCGATGTTGCGAGAGAGATCCGGGGAGTGATGTTCCACGAGATGACTCATGTGTGGCAGTGGAACGGGAGAGGCAGCGCCCCCGGGGGATTGATCGAGGGGATTGCCGATTTTGTGAGGCTCAAGGCGAATCTGGCACCGTCGCATTGGGTGAAGCCCGGCGCGGGGAATCGGTGGGATCAGGGGTACGATGTCACTGCCAGGTTTCTCGACTATGTCAACAGTCTAAGCGCAGGCTTTGTGGCCAAGCTCAATGCCAAGCTTGCAACTGGGTGGAGCGAGAGCTACTTCCAGGACTTGACCGGGAAGAGCGTAGGAACGCTGTGGAGCGATTACAAAAAAAAATACAGCTACTCATTGGATAGTGGAAGCACACAAAACATCCAAAAATGATTCAATATATATTAGTAAATACCTTAAAATAAATCTGTGAAAAGGATTTTTATAATACTTATATCTATTTAAAGTTTTAAAAAAAATATGTGACATTAAAATTCTTAGATGATAGTATAAGAAACGCAGAGGAAAACGTGGGACTGGGAGACAACAGTGAGCAATGCAGGACAATGTCAATCGTCTCGCTCTTCTTGTTTTGTATTTTTACCCTACTTTATCTCCCTGCTGACCATTCACGCTGATCTAGCTCCTTCCTAGTGACGACACCGATAACAAAGGGTCGCAAGCTTGTTTGCTAACGCGACGTTTTCTCTTGAGGGTACCAGGTAAAAACATGCTTCGCGAGAGGATGGCGAGCATGCGGTATGACGACAAGAGGAACGCGAGATGGATGGGGTACGAGCTGTCGCTACAATGCGATGATAAACTGAGTCCATGACTAGCGCGTTTGCACCCCCTTGTCACTCGTGGGACCTAAGGCCTGGGGAGTTGTTATGATTCTCAGCTTCCACTGTCTCTGCCGGTTTGTAAGTTGCATAGTTTTACTTGTCGTTCTTGTTCTATTACCGATTCCCTGGCTTGTTTGATCAGTTCGATTGCATTCAGCAAAATCTGGAAGTTCACCATGGGTGATGCTACCATTTATGCTATGCACTAAGTCTTCTTAGACAGTGTCCAAGTTTATCTGGCTGATTCCAAGTTCATTTTTCCTTCATGTTATTGCGAGTGGCAGTGACACACCGTTTACACCTAATCGCGCACCTCCGATTTCAGAGATCGGACAAAATCAAACTTCCTCTACAAACGAGACGGAGGATGGGGTGACCGAAAACCAATCTTGCTGGTTTCCTGAGCTCGTGGAGCTTGGTTATCCAGATGAGATGGTCGCACAAACTACCTTTGTGCAACCCATGTTGCTTCTCATTGCCGTGCAACGTGATGTTCAGAAAAGGCATCGCAAGACGACTGCTCTGGGTGCACTTCCAGGATGTCCATCGAGAGGATATCAGGTTCAGGTGCTCAAAACGGCTCGCTCGGTTTGCTCAGGTTTGCTCGGATAGAGTAAGCTTTTGAGAACCTACCAACATGATTTATCTTGCGTGTGTATTAAGTAGCCATAGTGATGGTATGAAGGAGCAACGAGGCATGCTCGGTAGGTGGTATGGAAGAAACATTAGAGTTCCACAATTCCACCATCATTATTGGTAAAGTGCAACACGTTCACTAGTGATTTTGAAAGATTTTTGCATCATTTGCAAAAGTGGTGCAAAGTTTTCTGTTGCAATGCTTGTATTGCAATGTATCACCTCCAGTGCTTGGATCCACCAATGAAATCTGTTCTAAAGAGGAGCTGGAGATGCCCTGGTTTGTTGTGTTAGTGTGCATGAATGTCTTTCATTTCTCATGCTGGCATCATGTATTTAATTTTGTTTTAGGAGGAGCCTCTAAGTAGATTCTCAAATTATTGGTATTGACTTGGCAAAGGTTATCTCGCTGCAAGAGGGAAGCAACAGGAGTTTCATGCACTCTCATACGGAGAAGGACGACGGAGGAAGGCAAGAAGGCAGAAGAGGAGCTGATGAAACATTACCTTTTCAAGTGGAAGTCGAGGTCTTACCTTCATTGCTCTTGGTAAGTCTTTTCTTGCTTATAGACACTAGTCATTCATATGAAGCATCACAGGATACTGCTGAATGAAATGCTCACCAACCCCATCCAGCTCCATCTCCCTGGTCCCTGGACGAAAACCTAGAACTAAAAAACAATGGAAGAAATATGAATGCCATACCTTCCAGCTCGATTGGGATCCAAAATCTGTGATGGATCGGAGGAGCTTGAGGAGGACATCCTTCTTCTTGTTGAGAAAATACCGTGTGTTAGCCGATGCCAAGAGCCTGCATTCCCTGGTGGCCCTCTATCTCATTTCTAGCAATACTATTGTGGAAGCCCTCTCCAAACCATATCCTTCACGACCTCAGTCCATTGATCGTATTGTTTTTATTGACATAAAAGGTATGACTCAATGTTCCTAACTTGTTTTAGTTGGTAAACCAAAACTAAAACTACAAAAAAATTGCATAAAATTCTGTTGATTAGTAATAAATTAATATGAGAAGTTAGTGTTAAAGTTCTAAAAGGCAATCTTTATATTGATATAATTCAAGATTACTCTAGAATGAGTAGTAAGATTAAGATAGAGAAAGTGTTTCTAATGGATTTAATGGGATTTAAATCAGCAAAGTGAGAGAACCATCATAAGTAATTCAATAAGTCTCTAAGTTGGATAATCTATTCTCTTTAGAGGATATACAATAAATGATGGTCTTTTGGTGTTAAACCATTGATAAATAATGGCTTGGTGCAAAAGATAAAATACTAATCCATGATGGGGTTACTTTAGAAAATAGGTTTTCCCCGCCTCTCCATTTTATTCACAGCAAACCTGATTCGTGGCTCAATTTGGGACACACAGATGCCTGGATTTTGCACACTCGCTGAGGAAGTGATGTGATAATGGTCGTGGTGGTTTTGCTACACCACCACCTTGCGGTCTCTCTGAAACTAGGAGCCAGCGACTCCCTCATCCACTCCTGCTTCGGCTAATCAAGTGAACTGCACACAGCGTGTACAGAACCGTGGCTGGTGTGAACACCACATGGATAGCGCGTCATCTGATCTGGTCCTACAAGTTCTAGGGATGGTAAAGGTTTTGGACACGGCAGTACCACTAGAGGTGGATGTGGTATGTTTTCTAATTCATTGTTTAATGACACACTCTTCTCCTCATGAGATCTAGGTGGCATATGTCTTGCCACCTTCCAGATTCTATAGGCTAGATGATTGTATATATTCAGTGTGATATATTAGTGGTATTGGATCTGTTGTGATGTGAAAAGGTTCGACTCTTTTTACATGACTCAAGGGCCATGACTCATGACCACGTGGACATGCCACGACAGCTGATAGAGACTGACATCTCAACAGGATCTCAATCTTGGAATGATGGCTCTCACTAGGGAGGAGGCTGGTGAGGAAGAGGATGAGCTACCTTGGATTTAGGATGGTGCAAGGAGGCTGACAAAAAAAGCGAGTCAAAAGAATATGGCTGAAGAGGGAGTTCTTGGCGCTGCGTTAGAGCAGCAGAGGCGCTGGGTGCTAAGACAAAGAGGTGTTGCCAAAGGAGACAATACCAGGAAGCAAGTTGTGTGTTGTGTGCGATGTGGAGCACAAGCTGTGCTCTAGATGCTCCCAGTAGAGGCGCTAGACAGTGCTGGACGTGCTGTCTAGAGGTGCTGGGCAAAGCCACTGCAGAAGGCACCATAAGGCAGTACATGCATGGGTGCTAGATGGAGGCATGCTATCTAAATTAAGGCAATACCAGGCACTGGCCAGAAGCATTGTGATTCTTGGGCAGGATCCAGGTGCTGGCCAAGGGAGAGCATAATGAGGGCTAGTATGCTGAGATGATGAAGCGATGTTGCAAGGAGTCTGTGTTGCCATTTAGCACTAGTTGTAGTGATCCGGTAGAGCACCTTGAGAGGAAAACTAGAGGATGAGAGGGAGACCTAAATATTCAGAGTCCAAAAGGGAGACTTCCAGTATGAAAGGCTGGACACTAAAGTATGGTGGACCAAAGGCACACACTATTGCATTGGGTGTGAGTGTGATCTAGGCTGGCAAAGGTGCTAGAGGTGTGGATCAGAGGCTGTGCATGGATCAGAGGCTACAGAA